CTGAACCCGATGCCAGGCACGTCAAATTTTTTAAAGTGAGGAATACACTGCTGTTTGTTGGTTTGGATGTCCGAATCGCCGCCTTTTCTTCCTTCCGTTACAGCTAGCTGTTGTTGTGATTGGTGCAGCTTGATGGTCTACCCACACGCCTCCCCCCATTCAATTTATTTCAGTAGTCAGCGCGAACTATGCGCTGCCGGATTAACACGCGTCGTGAGCCAAATTGGCCCCGCTTTTGTCTAACGCATCATCTGTGCTGCAGCCCATTGTAGGGGGGCTAGCTCATTGGCGTACCAGGGCAAGGCGTTAAACTGTCAACAAGAACCTTGTTTGCCTAAGGGGTATACTGCTCAGCAAGGGCAATGCGCCAGATTTAGTTAGGTGTTCATGAGTCATTTACGTTTGAGCTCGATGGAGTTTGAACACATAGTACACATTTCTTGTAAGGGTTCCTAATAAACAACATCATACACATATATAACTAACTACATATATTGTTGTAGCTTATTATTTAGTTAGTTATTGTAGTTTTTGTTTGGTTTTATTTTGTGTGCTTAACTTAGTTTAGTTTCGGTTTTGTTTTGTTTTAGTTTATTATTCAGTTTTATTAGTTTTGCTTTAGCTTATTTTTTACTCTATTTAGTTTACTTTAGTGTATTATATAGTTTTTTATTTCCTTTCCCCATGTAAGCCCATTATCACTGGTCCCGTATTACACAAATCGGGGGTTTTTGTTACTGTGGTGTTGTTTTAAAGGAATTCTTGCCTTTTTGAACTTTAATTTCCAAAAAATGAGAAACAAGGTTCAGAAGTAAGGGCAGTAACCTTTGTAACTGAGAAGGACGCTTTCAAAGACCCCGGCAACTGGGGTCAGCATCTGCCACAGTAGCTGCGCAGACTTTAATTGCATCGCTGAGCGGTTGGCGCGCTCAGTTTCATCTCCCCCAGCCTCCAGGGTAGTCATCGTTTGATCAGTACACATTGGTTGGCGTGAACGGACCTCAAAGAGGACAACATCTTCTTCCTCTCCGGACTTTTCCTTTTTCGTCAGTTGCAGCAGGAACGCAGCATCCCGAGACACCATCAACGTGCCATCCTTCCATTGGCTCAGATAGCAGAACTGAGGGGTGGGGGGGGAGGACGGAGTCAAAATGAGTGGCAGGATGAACAGCATTCAATTATTCTGAAGAGGTCACCGGAACAAAATAGGAGAGTGTGGACTGACTGTTTTCGCCTCGGCTAGCCATATCAGACGCCGAGACTGGAATTCACTCTCAGTTAATTGCGTCATGTGGTCACATACGGTCTTCTCACATGCAAAATATTCAACATGTGAAGCGTTTTTGTTCTGGTACAAGCTTGGGGCAGGATTCAATTTGAAATAAATGTACTATTTATGGACGCCCAATTGCTTTGAGATTACTTCTTACTTGCCCTTGGTACTAGTAACAACTTAAAGATGCCTGGAAATTCGCATTATTTCATTTGATCGACAGCAAAAACTAACAGAATTGTAAATAAAAATGTATGCAACCTGAAGAAGATAAGGGAAAAGACAAGAAACAAGGTTTTTTCCACCTGTCGTTCAAACCAAAGAAAACCGGCGATCACTTTCTGGCGTTAGGTTGTCTGAATTTCTTGAAAGGCACCTAAGAAAGCAGGAAATACGCGTGGCGCACAAACCGACAACCACAGTACGCATCCAGCTTCTAAACTCTAAGGATAGTATTGGCTATTAAGATCCCGTGTAACACCTGCAATGCAGCATACTGTGGTTAGATAGGAATATCGGTCTTCTCATGCATACAAGAACACCAACTGTCAGTTAGGCGGCGAGACCAAACATACACGAGAAGAGGTACAAAAAATTGCCAAGAATAAAACTCGCATTAGTAATGACTGTTTACCTAAGAAAAGCCGAGCATTTTCAGAGGATATGGGCTGTGCTCACTCATGCACAAATCGGCGTATTTAGTGGGATGCTGTTGTAACGGATGCCCAGGCTGAGATATCACCACTCAATTACGCCTGGTGTGAGTCCCCAAAGGAAGAACACGACAAGAAGTGTGCAACAGCAGAAGTCTCTGAGTGTAATGGGTACAACATGTTTAGGAAAACAAATGCGTGTAACACGATGTTCATCGAGCCAATCAGCTTCTCTCCTGACGTAGACCCCGGTACGATTGGCTGGTGGCTAAAGGCTGACTGTAGCTTGAGTTTTAAATTATTGATTTATTGCCTGTCAGTATGCTTCACCGCCTGAAGGCCGATCGATAACCTGCCGTGAGCGCACCTCGCGCTTGCATGCTATCTGCCTGTAATGCAGTTCGTTAGGCTTGCCCTAACAGATGCGGTGTACTATCACATCAATAAGAAATATAAAAAGTACCAGACAATCCGAACCGCAGGCTGGTCAACAGTAATGGCTTATTAACAAGAATAACAAGGCAGTACTGTTTTTGCTAGGTAGATTAAAATTTGAATTGTTTTACACGTTTAGCACACGTCTGAAGACGACCTCAGGAACACGAGTCGAAAAGCTAGAAGGTAAAGTCTGCTAACCTTTTCACAGAGCTTATTTCCTCCAAGCTAGACTTCTCGAGATGCCCATCTTTCAATTCATATACGTACGTACATATATATGCCGTGCGCTTAAGAAATCGCAGTACCTATATAGTTGGCAGTTTCATTTCACTAGTTTGTGTATATAATCATTTGGTATACTGCATTTAATTCACCGAACAATGTTCTTTTTTATTTTTAATGACCTTAGATAGTCGCCTGCGGATATAACTCTGTTCGGGAATACATCACCTCAGTAAAACTTATTTTTTTCTGATAGCCCTAGACATGATTCATGCCGCCGAAATGTGGGGAGCATTTATTCTGTCGGGAACACACCAAACCGTGAGACAGTGAGGCACAATTTCAGGGTGGTTCAGTCTCCATGGTCGCCGCGTGGAAAGCAGCAACCGCGCACGAACAAACTCCCACCCATTACCCGAAAATGAAACTATTGAGCTGTCACTTTCTACGTACTTTACAGGTTCCAGTCGAAAACTAGTTCCAATTATTCGTCCTTACACCAATTTTCACCGCAAATATCTTCCGATCAGGCGCCATAAAACGAAATCGACCTTGTCAGTGTAGGACGGAAATGGCAAGTACGATTCTGAGACCTCATCTTCTAGCCGGTGCATCATAATGAGTGTTTTTTTGTATTGCTTGCTTGTTTTATTGCTGCATTTGCGTGAGTTAATGTGCTTTCTTCGATCCTACAAATAGGATGTACTCAGACACCAGTGAGATACACTTTTACTGAACTCACCCTTTCTCGGTACAGTTATACAGCCACTTTTCCTAGTTTTCCCTTTTTTATCCTCGCCTAAATTAAGCCTTCCCATTTGGTCTCCTTTGGGGAAGGGTTTCTGGAATAATATATGAATTTCTGGTTAAAATTTAACACAAGCGCGTGTTCTGAAACACACAAGAGAACTTTACCATCAGTTGATATAGGGCCAAGTGCCCGGAGAGTCGAAGACTGAGTAAATTACCTTCACATATTCGGGCCAATGTATTCTCACCAGGGCCCGTGCCAGAACACCGGGAGTTAGACCATTTGGAAACCGGTAGGCCAGACAGATAGAGTTTTCAATGGTATCTGTAGCCGACGCCCAGACCTGTTCTGCCTCTGGGCTCCGGGACGCCATCAGACGCATGGGGAAGCGGAGACCCGGTAGGCCATTCGACGCCAACCAATCAGATTTGATGATAGCACTTCTGGTTGTTTTGGTGCCTCGGTTCTGTACCGCAGACGATGCAGTCGTGTACTCCGCCGTCTCTTCTTGTGAACGCAGGATATCCGCAGCCACAGCCAAACTGTAAGGAGTAGCATACTGAAAAATCAAATTCAATAAGTATTTTAAGCGGATAATCAGAAGGTGGCGCCGCATTTACTTGATCTTCATGAAGAGACTGTTGGGTTTTAAGCATGAGGACTCACCTCATTCAAACACTCCTCAATGCTGAGGCCTTCAGTTCTGACATTGGCCGTGGCATCATTGTTCTTAATGGGGTAACCTATCTCCAACCACTGCCAGATAATGAGGAACATAGATTTCATTGTAGGAATGCCCGATGCGGCCGGGGCAAGCCCACAAGCTTCAAAAATGTGGGGAAGCATTGATCCAGGAATGTAGCCGGTTTTTAGAGCGTGAGAAGTACTTTCGAATAACGCATGTGGGCCCTGAGTGTTTCCGCCACGGAGGATGCTTCGTTTCAATTTCTGTCGGAATATTTTCCGTTTAAAAGCCAGTCCTTTATGTTCGGCAATTGTGTTTGATAGGAAATAGGAAAGGTGGGGCGTTAAAAGGTATTCCAAACT